ACAGCCAGGGCCGGCTCCAGGGTTTTGGCCGCCCCACGCAGCCAAAAAAAAAAAAGCCGCGATCGCAATCGTGATCTGCAGTGGCAATTCGGCGGGAGGTCCTTCATTCCGAGCAGGAGTGAAGGACCGTCCGCCAAATTGCCACCGAACAGCTGGACGTGCCGCCCCTCTCCGAAGTGGCCGCCCCAAGCACCTGCTTGGTAAGCTGGTGCCTGGAGCCGGCCCTGTTTACAGCTAATTAAAGCTTCCTTGTTAAACTTAATTTCTTGTGTGGTGGCTAAAACTTCTCTTCCCTTCCCTGCAACACAGATACTACAATACAGACCTCAATGGAACACTGCCCTGAGATTTCTAGTACTTTGTGCTCATTGTTGAGCGAGAGAGTTTTGCCACTTGTGCTTTTGGGGCATAATCTTTCATCACTGAAGGAATTCTGGATTTACATTGCTGCAACAGGTCAGACTGGAAGTCTGTGGTGGAGCAGAGATTTGGATTCAGGTCTCCTGAGTTCCAAGCATTCTTTTTTCTTCTGGCAGTCATGTTTAGGGAAGCAGAAATGCTTAGCTTCAAGTTGCTATAGGGCAACTCTAAACTGTAAAAAGTTTTTGCAGCCCACTATGTGCTCAGACACAGAGTTTTTCATGTTTGTTTGGGCAGATAATATATGATGAATAATGAAACAGAAACCCAAAAGAGAAACCGAAGGTGGCACAACTTGATGCTTCAATCAATTTTAAGTGTTTCCCAAGTTAAAGCATCTCTGAGTCACTGATTCATTCAAAGAGAAAGTTATTTCTATAAGCTTTTTTGTGTGTGTGTGGTTTAGGTGGAAATGGAGGGAATTTAAATAGAGGTAAGGACTGTACAGATGTTACAGGTATTAAACTCATTTACTAATCATAGACGTCATGATTTAGTTTGTTATACATTTACACTTGTATGAGGGTGAATGTGAAGATTTGAGGAGGGGGGACTATGGTTGTGTCTCCATAAATCTGGAACGTTGTCACCAGCCTGTAATAAACAGGGCACTGAAAACGTCAAATGATATTTGACATCTGTGCTTAATTAGTTATTCTGACACAGACTCATAATATTTGCTGTTAATATTCATTCAAAAACATCCTGCTGGCTGTGATAATATTTATATGTTAATCCTGTTATGATAAGCTTTTAGTGCCAAAACCTCTTGAAACAAAATGACTGATATATTTCAAAACTTATATAAAGAAATTTTCAGGCATCCCGGTTAAGTTAGTCACTTGCACAAGTATCTCCTTAATCCGTGAAATTACACCTGTCACAGTAAGTTAGCTTTATTAACACTATTTCCTGATCCATGTAAAATGATCAGGATCACAAAAGCATTGAATCTCAAGTTAATTAACATTGCCACCTTTGCATTCATGTGATCAGATCTCTGATTTTTAAGAGTAATTAAACAATATGTAAATAGAGTCTGA